TTAAATAATATTAGTATAAATTCTACAAAATAATTAAAAATCTGGGTTGTTACAAAATTAGAGATTTTGGTTTGTTGTTGTTTGCGCTAAAATTAGGGATTTGATTTGTGCTAAAATTAAAAATATTAGTTTGTGGTGATTTATATGTAAATTAGGAATTTTAGTTTGTTATGATTTATGCTAAATTTAAGAATTTTGATTTGTGTTAAAATTGGAGATTTCAATTTGTGGTGGTTTGTGATCAGATTGGGGATTTTGAATAAGGATTTTTATTTTTATAGCTTGGTTGTCTATATAGAGAGACATTTTTTATGGTATTGATAATGACGCTATCGGGAATAATTATAAAAGTTTACAATTTATAACTTTTGTAATGAATATTTAAGTTTTAGGATTTAATATTAACTCGAAAAATTATTATTATGTTACTGTTATTGATTAGGAATTTTTTTTTTGATATTGTAATTAATAGGTGTTCCTATATTAAATTCCTAACTCCGCCACTGCACTGTTTGATTCGACTAGTTGTGGAAGCAATTACGTATTGAAGTAGTTACTGATTGTTTTCTTCTTCATTACATGTCCAGATGAATAGTGTGGTGGAAGTGATTATTGGGATAGAGGGCTATAAGTAGTTATTACAGATCCAAATGAATATTGAGATTGTGGAACTCTTGGTTTAGCATGCTCTAAATATTAGACTCTGCCTAAATTGAATTTGTGTATTGTTGTTGAGACATTTGGTATTGTTGATAAAAGTATTACTGATGTGGTTTTATCTCCTGATTGCAATGATTATTGTCGAATGAAATTGAATTGAGTTTCTCACCATCTTTGCATGCTCACAAGGTGCAATCAGTCTTATAGGTGTGCGACATTGTCATGTTCCTAGCTTGATTGGCTTTGGGACGTGACAATTATTCTTTCTTTGTTTTTTTTGAAAATGTATTATTATTTTCTGACTTGATGTAGGAAAGACAACGCAAAGGAACCGAACCGTTGTCGTTAATCATGTGGAGGAGCAGACAACATCAATCTTTAATTCAAACAATTAAGATTGGTCTCTTTCGAAGAAGCACAAGGCAAGAGAATTGGTAACTATTAGTAGTGAAACTGCTCTAGAGAATGGTCTCTCCTATGTGTATGCATCAAAATCTTACATGCATGTTAATACATGTCAATATCAGTAGTCACATTAGTGTAATGACTTAGTTGCTTGCCATTAGGACCTAACTCAACTAATTTTGATATCCCTTGACTAAAATTTCTCAGTAATTATGTTAGGCTTGAACAACTCTCTATTTGATCTGGCTAAAAAAATTGTGTTTAAAAAGTTGATTGGTTTTTTTTTATTTTTATTGTGAGAGAAAAAGTGAAATGATTATGGATTGGATGTGATATTTTATCTTATTGATTATTTTAACCTATTTTGCCTTTTAAAAAACTGTTTCAGCTCAACAATCTCCCCAAACAAGGGTAAAATAAAAGAGAATTAGGGCTTTCTCAATTTTACTTCTCAACTTGAGAAGATTATAGGATCCGTGAGGCTCACTATAAGTCTCATTTCGATTATTCAAATGGTTCATTTTGTAAAATTCCCATGTATATAATTTATTAAAAAATTAAATCGATAATCGTAATTTTTTTATTTTATGATATTTATTTTTATAATGATTTATTTTAAAAAATATACTGGTCATAACCTTCCTTGACATTGTTCCCAAACTATTAGATAATTTCTGATTATTAAAGGCCCCAAAAAAATCAAATCATGTACGGTTTTTAAATTTAAATAAATAAAAATCTAAATAAGAAGCAAAAAATCTATTCTATAGCCAGCTAATTTATTATTTTCGAATAATGATGGTAATCAACAAATAGAACAAATAATAATTGGCTCAAAGTACAAATGACTTATAAGTTGTGTTTTTGCTGCAACCTGTAGGAGGAGCAAAATAATGTTTGAAGAAGCTACAGTGACGACCTTTATATTTGAAAAGTTGAATAAAGTTAGGTCTCATTTGGTAATTCATTGTTGAAAAGTTGAATATTCAGGGTTCTTTGTGATGACTTAAATAAGTGCACTTTTTATCTTTTTATAAAAAGATGTGCAGAAAAGTAGAGAGATGATGTGATGAAAAAAAGATAAAAAGATAAAAAGTATGTACTTATTTTGGGTTGCCAAACTTGACCTCAATGTTGAAAAGTTGAATAAAGAATTAGTTAGGCCTCATTCGGTAATTCATTGTTTTAGTTTAAAAATTAAAAAATTATTAAAAAAATTAAAAAATCAATAACTTATACTAAAAAATTAAAAATTTGTTTTTTTTTTTCTACTTTTTACACATTTTTTCTTAAAAGATTTAAAAATTATTTTAAAATACTAATTTTTTTATCTCATATTTTAATAAAAAAATTTAAAAATTACCAAAATAAATTATTTTAAAACTAGGCGTTAGCCGTGGTTAGTGGTGATTTTTTTAACAGAAAGTTTGGCTTCGTTTGGAAAGATTGGAGTGAATTTGAGGGCTATTTTACCGATAAAAGGTAAAATAAATTTTTTAATTTAATAAAATAAAATATCACATTTAACTTACATTATTTTTTTTTGCAAAGAGTTAAAAAAGTTAAAAAATCATTCTAAACTTTTTATCCCAAACTAAAATTGTGTGGGTGAAAATCTGACCACACTGCCCGTTTAGTGATCAGCTGGAGAGTACAGGCTGAATAGATGGCTTTAGCAACCTGTAACAGAAAGAAAAAAGCTCCGGCGGTGGTTCTTCCACTCGGGGGCACTCCGACGATCAAGTTAGTATATCTCTCAAAGATAATCAAGTACTAAGCTAAATACTCAAAATATAAATTGCATACCTTAGACCCACGGGGGTGCCTTTCTTTTATAATATACTCAATCCAAATCCCACTTGAATTATAACTTCTATGTACTCCAATTTTAGTGCTTACTTTGGACTCTTTAGGGGATAAAGATAAACTCCCCAAGAGCTTTATCCTTATCTTAGTTAAGTCCCCTCTTTGCCTTAGGACTCTTGTCCCTTATCTCGGATTCCGATATCCTCGGAGATAACCTCGGCTTCTCCGAGATTATCTCGGCTTGACTACCAGGACACGTGGCACCTCGGCTGACACGTCGGCGTCACCATGCCACGTGTTGGTACTTCAGAAAATATATCCCCACAACTGCCCCCTAGGTTCTATTACCTCGGCATTCTGAGGTGATGGAACCTATTCTGATATTTTGTCACTTCTTTTCTGAGTAATGGCTCAAAAACTGTTTTAGCCAAGATTATCCACTTTTAGCCGATATGTTCTTTTCGGAGAGCAAGGCTTCGATCGTACTTTCACGCGCATGAGCTATCATGCATATCTAACCGTTCCTTTTACGTGTTTTGTCTTCATTGGAGCGTGTCGGTGACACGCCTGAAAGCTGTCTGTTCGTTCGTCTGCGCCGTCTGACGCGTGCGTTGCTCTAGGCGTAATGATTGCCCTATTTTTGGCGCCGTTTCACGTTTTTGACAAAACTTTTCCTTTGCCTCTATTTTCCCTTCACTTTTTCATTCTGTCTTCTTGCTCTTTCTCTCTCTGAAAGCTCTTTCTTCTTCGAATCTGTCATCGCTTCAATCTCTTTTCTGGAACTGCTCTTAATCCCTCATTCTTGCGAAGCCTTCTTTGCTGATTTTTTTTTTTTTTTTTTTCCCTGTATCTCCATTGTTTCTGAGAACTATACCTCTGTTCTTGAATCTGAAACTTCGTCTTTGTTTTCTCTTTTTTGTATCTGCCCCAGATCTGTGCCTTCAATCTTCGTCTTTATAGTTCTTAGGTTTGGGATTTGTGCGTAGAACCTTTAAATTTAGGGAAAACTGAAATAAGCCTTATCAACCATTTCTTAGATCTTTACCGAGGTTCTTGTAACCCTTCCTAAAAACGCCCATCTTCTGAAACATATTTTAATTTGACATAATGGGTATGTGGAGGCATAGGGTAAATACCCCAACAAAACTTGAATACTTCAGGCAGGAATTCTCTATCCCAGCCTATGTTCATCTTAAACTAGCTGGGGACAGTGATACCATCATGCCCACAGACCATACGATGCCCTTCCCTATAGTAGCTTTCACCGAATGTGGATTTCGGCTTCCACTTGATCCCCTGTTTCGCGAAGTTCTTTACTTCTATAGGCTGAACCCTATGCAACTTACTCTCAATTCCTATAGGGTAATTAACGGTATTATTGCTTTAGCTAGGCAAGAGAACCTTAGAATTACCCTGGCCGACCTTCAATACTGCTATACCATGTGCCCTCTTGACCTGAAGGATAGGGGTTTCGTTTATTACCTTAAACCAAGATCTACTCAGTACAAAATCGTAGCCGACCTCCTAGACTCCAACAAGGGGGCTGGAGATGATTTTTCCCATTGCTTCTGGAAATTGGGAATTTGGCCCAGATGAAGATGTCCACCTCTACCCTCTTCCTCGAACAATTTCAGAGGGCAAGAGTAAGAGCCCTGAGTCAACACTTAGTTGTTTTTATTTAAGTCCTTAATACTTTTTGTTTCTAACGTCTATTTCTTTGTCCTGCAGATCTTCATCAGCCACCGAAAAATTATCGTCAATCCTTCTTCCCAGGAACAGATCTGAAAACACTCCTTAACCTTCCAATCCATAAACGAAAAGCCCCACTGTTACTAAACTTCATCCCTACATATAAATCTACTTTACCCGATATCCCAAAGAAAAGGAAGAAGAGCCTTTCCCCTCCTACTGCCACCACTCACACCGCTTCAACATCACGAACAGACCAAGAGTCTACATTTGACCCTGTCGATCTTCCATTGACTTCGGCCCCCTACTTAATACCAATCCCAGAACGCAAACGTCGACGAAGACTTGTAAAAACTACCGAGATGGTTCGTTCAAGGCCCGTCGTTCAAGATCTTCTCGCCGACCTTCCAACCGACGCCAATGTTGTTCCTTCCTAATCAATGCTCCCACCAAAGCCAAAGAGAGTTAAAAAGGCTCAGCCCAAGGCCAAGGCTACAGATGCCGAGGCTGAGGATGTTTTACCGATTTCTAAACTGGCAGAAAGCAAAAAATCAACCTCTACTTCCACCAAGAGGTCTGCTGAGGGCCAACCCTCTGGGTCCACACAATCGAAGAAGGCGAGGTCATCGTCCGCGACGACCTCGGCTTCAAAGAAGCCCGACGTCCCCTGGGCCCCTGATCTATCCCTAGAGGATAGGCCCATTATGGCTAGTGAAAATGCTGACGACATTAACGTTGGTGTCGCCCTCAGCACTGCTCTTCTTCTTCCAAATGACTTGGAGCGAAATGCTAAGCTTAGTGAGTATGAGAATTACGCTCTCATACTCCAACACTCCGTTCAAGTAAGTATTTCTGTTTGTACTTGTGTTTTTACTGAGAGTACTGTCTAACACTTCTGTTTTTCTGCAGGCCATTCAGCATGCCCATTCATTTTCAATGCAATCTTTTGAAAATCGTCAAAGGTTGGTTGATATGAAAAGGGAAGCATCTTCCATGAAGAAAGAGATCAAATCCCTTGAAGCAAAAATGAAAAAACTGGAGGATCAAGCTGAGGCTGCAACTAAAGCTCAAACTCTAGCTCTTGAGAAGGCTGAATCTGCTGAGGCCGTTAGAAAAGTTGCTGAGGCCGAGAAAAGAGAGGCCGAGGTTCAGAAGGCCCAAGCGGAGAAAGAACTCCAGCAAGCTCTGGCCACCAAAGAGGCCGAAATCAAAGAGGCCGATGAAAAGGCCTACGCCCAAGGTATGGCCGACGTCGCAGAAGATTATAAGCTTCAAGTCAGGCAGGCATGCAACAGGGGATTTTCCCTAGGTTGGATGTCCCTGATAAAGAAGCTTGATCTCCCTGTTGACTCGCCCCTTCGGAATGCTGAAGCCATCCATTTGCCATTTCCTCCACCTCCACCTGAAGGTGAATCAGAATCTGATGCTGATGCCGAGGATGAAGACAAGGAGGTCAATGAAGAAGCCTTGGTGAGAAAACCCAAGGATGCCATCGTAGCCAAGAGGTTGACACATGATTAATTATTTTTTTAGTTTTATTATTATAAGATATATTAAAGTGATGAGCTGTACTTTTTTGTTAATACACAATTTAATATCTCTGTTACAATAAACTAACAAACTTTAACACAAAATTGAGCCCACTTTTATTATTTTTTACAAGTTAACATAAATTAACACACAATTTTAATACTTTGATTAGAGATGCTCTTAAACACACTCCATGATTTGTTTTTAAGGCCTCGTTTGGGAATCCTCATTTTTAGCCAAAAAGTCAAAATGTTACTAAATTAGATAAAAAACCAACAATCCATACTAAAAAGTAAACTCGCCTCATGATATTTCTAAATCTTGAGCATTAAGCAGCACAATTACTTTCCCAAAATTGAATGTAATTTTTTCTTATCCTTGTTAAGAATTGACACTCCATGATTAAGAACTAACCAAAAAAATTCCCGACGTCTTCTAGGACTTCCATGTCCTCATCTTCAACTTCTGCTTTTTTTGGCTCCCGTAACTTTAGCTCTTGAGAAGGCCGAATCTGCTGAGGCCGTTAGAAAAGTTGCTGAGGCCGAGAAAAGAGAGGCCGAGGTTCAGAAGGCCCAAGCGGAGAAAGAACTCCAGCAAGCTCTGGCCACGAAAGAGGCCGAAGTCAAAGAGGCCGATGAAAAGGCCTACGCCCAAGGTATGGCCGACGTCGCAGAAGATTATAAGCTTCAAGTCAGGCAGGCATGCAACAGGGGATTTTCCCTAGGTTGGATGTCCCTGATAAAGAAGCTTGATCTCCCTGTTGACTCGCCCCTTCGGAATGCTGATGCCATCCCTTTGCCATTTCCTCCACCTCCACCTGAAGGTGGATCAGAATCTGATGCTGATACTGAGGATGAAGATAAAGAGGTCAATGAAGAAGCCTTGGTGAGAAAGCCCAAGGATGCCGTCGTAGCCAAGTCCCCTCCTCCTACTGAGCAGGTTATGGACTTAACTTTGGATGAGGGGGGGGATGAGGCCAAGGAGGCATCTAAGGAAACTGCTACTGGGCAGTTATCGTCCAATCTTCTCTTGATAGAAAGAAGTGTTAAGGAATCATTAGCAGAGATTGATGCCGAGATACAAGCGGAAAAAGTGGCCGACGAGGTTCCACCAGAATCGTCCGAGGTCCCAGTCCCTGCGGTGGCTAACAGTGAAGAATCTTGAGAAAATTGTCTTTTGTACTTTTTCCTTTTTCTGTACTTTGCACTTTTGTACTCGTTTAATTTTTGGACAATGCAAAACTTCTTCTTATGGCCGACGTGGCTTTTTTAATATGTAATTGCAACTGTTCTTTTCTATGGATGTTTTAATCTTGTGATGTTCTGTTGACTGCTTCTGCATAGTCTTGTACTGGGAAAATTTTTTTGCATGTTTCTCCATGTTGCTTCCTTTGTGCAATCTTCTCGGGGTGACATACCTCGGGTATAACCATAAAACTTACTTCGGCAAGATACTGACCTGCAAACTTTTCATAAATTTTAACAAGTATAAAACATATATTTCTGAATGTAAATTTTGCAAGTTTCTTCTCAAATAAGTATCAAACAGTGATCTCGATCTATCTTACTTGTAAATTGTTACAAATTTCAACAAGTAGTAAACAATATACTTAGCCTTTATTTCAACCTGTAAATTTCTATATACCTCAGCGGGTGATCATATGTCGACTTAACATAGACTTGTAAATTGCTACAAATTTCAACAAGTGTTAAGCATCTTCCCTAGGTTTTAAACAACCCACATATTGCTATGAGAACTTAAGCAATAACCTTGGCCTATCATCGACTTGTAAATTGCTACAAATTTCAACAAGTGAAGATAAGGAATCAGCTTAATTCCAACTTGTAAATTGCTACAAATTTCAACAAGTGAATTAAGGAATAACCTCGGCTTAACTTCAACTTGAAAATTGCTACAAATTTCAACAAGTGAAGATAAGGAATTAGCTTAGTTCCAACTTGTAAATTGCTACAAATTTCAACAAGTGAAGAAAAGGAAAATCTCGAATTAACTTCGACTTGTAAATTGCTACAAATTTCAACAAGTGAATTAAGGAATAATCTCGGCTTAACTTCAA